AAGGCATGAGACAGAGGGCATTTGGATGGTGAATGAGATTAATTTCTCAACCATTCTCATTGAATTTTTCTCCTGCACTTTGCACTTACAAAAGGAGAAGGAATTCTCCATCTTCTACAACCCTCAGTTATCTTATTCCATCCTATTCTTATGTTTGCTTTAGCTGTGTTCATGTTTTCTATTTTGTGGGTTTTGGTTGTGGAACGTTTTCACAACCTCAGGATGGTGGGAGATTTTCTTTATGAGTGGATATAGTGAGACTGTTTGAAAAACATCGTGTGTTCTGTTTTCTTACATCTTAAAACTCTTTGAAACCTATTGTTATCATGGTGAAAAATACTATAGAGTTTTTGTTCTCATGGACTAGCCCTAAATCAATGGTATACCATGTAAATCCTCGGTACCATTTATTATTGCTTGTGCTTGTTGTTATACTGACAATAGACAATGTATTGTGTTACTAATATTATCAAAATAAACTGGTCCAATGAAGTTGGCTTAATCATGGTATTGTGGTGAGGTTCTGGTATGCTTTATAAGCTTTATGGTCTACTTTATGTTTTTTATGATGTATTTTATTGTGTTACTGGTAAGTTTCATGATAATTGTGGAGAGGGGCGAGATGCAAAGTAAATGAGTAGCGCCACACGCGTATGTCCCTCTAATTTTTAAAAATGACAAGGGTTTATCTCTTCAAAACTCAAAATTAATCGTGGTCAATCACTTGGAATAAAGAAGTCATCAAAACAAAATATTTTAATTGGCTGCTAACAAATTAAGTGTTAACACCCTAACATTTTTCGCAAATATAAGTCTAAATTTTTTTAAAATATATTAAAGTTAATACTATTTTGAACAACATAATTAATCAAAGTTTTTTGTGCTAAAAATTTGAATTGCGAGTTCAAATGAAGAAGCAATATTGTCAACCCGCAGATCGACCCACCGTTTGAGCCACTTTGACCCAGACCCAGACCTAGTGAGAAAAACGGGTCGCAAACATCCACCGGGTTGACCGTTGTAAAGTATGTGGTTGGATGTCAAATTGTGTTGTTTTTTTCTTTGGTTGCGAAATGCATCTATTTTCCGAATTTCTTTTTCGCCTAACCAAATTTTTGGAATTCTTTGTTGAACATTTGAATATTGATGTTATATAAATGTGTGAATTTTCACTATGTTGATCCAAGTACGACATGTTATTTTGGTGTATTGTTATGTATTATTACTCATATGTTAGATAAGTATAGATGAGTATTACTTAAATTTTAGATGAGATTTGAAATGATTTATGAATGTGGACAATATAATTAACTTTTCATATATCCAATTTAAAAATTAAGCTAAAACGATTAGATCATTAATAATCCTCAATCCTCAATCCACTTGCTGCAGGACGAGGCCAAGGGACTAATCGGTTGACAACCTTGTCAAGAAGTGACAAATGATGATAATGCAAAAAATCTCGCACGACACGGACCAGAGCGGAAGAAGTCGTCTCTATTGTCTTTCTTTTCCTTCAGACACTCATATGTCCAACTATCCTTTCTTGGAGAAACTCAGAAATTTCCTCTTCCCGGCGAAGAAGAAAAAGAGTCTCTTCCAACTAAAAGGGAACGAAAAAGCGAACAATTCCCATGTCTACATCATCTCTGACTATTGTCCATCTATTGTTCCTGCTGTTTTACACCTTAGGGTTAGGTTTTGGTTCTGATTACAGTCACACTCTCAACGAAGCTCGAATCGACTTCACTCATGGAGATCATGACGAGCCTGGTTTGGGCGGTGGCGTGCTCCACCTAAAGGTGTTAGTTTCTTTCCGTACTAAAAATATAATTGAATATGTAAATGGCTACCACTGATCAGTTGCTGCTTTAATTTGTTAAAAAAGTAGTGGAATAAGCAAATTGGGATTAAATTCTGTTCTAAAGTGAAGAAATTGGAATATTCAGCTATCCCATTCCAGTATGCGTTCGGGTTAGATTATTCTGACATTGAATTGATAATTTCTTTCAACTAAATAGGACGATGATCTATTATTGGCTGAGAATTGGGAAGCACATTAATTATGTTTATTACTTTTTACAAACATCTGCAGCACATAGTTGGACCTGTATGGATTTGTATGTTTTTACTACACCATATAGGGTTACATGGGACTACTACTTTTCTGCCAGCGATCATGCGTTGAAGTTTGATTCATGGGAGGAACGTTCAGAGATGGAATATGTATGACTTTCTTGTACATTTTGTATTTGTTTGCGTCACTGTTATGCATAGAACTGCTTGGTGGTGATGTTGGTGTTGGAATTGTTTGCAGGTGAAGCAACATGGTGGTAATGTTTCTAATGTTTACTCGAACTACAAATGTGCACCTTTCCACTGATAGTTTGTCTTTAATCCTTAAAGAGGGTCATGACCCACTGATCTGATTCTTTCCTGTCAAGTAATATTTTGCCATGTTTATTTGAAACCCCATGACTCAAGGGTTATGATTTGCGACAAGATTGTGTTGTAGAACTACCCGTCTATGGCTGTTGTTTGCTCATGTCATATTTGATCTTGATTCTCAGGGTGAAGAGGTAATAGTAGTCATTCCATGGGATGAATGGTGGGCATTAGCCTTAAAAGGATAATTCCAATCCACAAATTGCTCTGCTTCCCCTGCATCCAGATGTGCGTGCTAGATTTAATAACAGCGCAGCTTGGGAATATGTCCGGGCCATGGCTGGAAAGTCGTATGGTTACCATAACATGATATTTAGTTGGATTGATACAATAGCTGGCAATTATCCTCCACCTCTAGATGCTCACTTGGTACGAACCTTTCCAACATTGTTGTTAGTGATTGTGTTGAGTCAGGGACAAAATATTGCTCTACTCCAAATTCTATTGATTTGCTGCTCAAGTAAACAGGTTCTCATTTTGTTATAGATGGAATTCAGTTTATCTTCACATTTTGCCTATAATTTCCCACAGATTCGTGATGCTTACATGCATAAAATATTCGACAACAATCAAACTCACCTTCCTAGCTGGTGCAATAATGAAGATGGCCAGCTCTCGTTTTGTCAAAATCTTGGGCGAGTACCGGATGGAGTTGCCCGAATACAATAGCGTAGAGCCATATGCCAAGATGAACGAGAATTGCCCATCCCTACCTCCTATCTACGACAGGCCTTCTCAGTGTTGAATCTCTTATGTGTACGACAAGAATGTCACGCCTGTAGCTCTACTACACATTTTCTCAAACTGTATACACGATACCATGTTTGTAATTGTAACTTCTATGTGATTCTGTACATAAAAACACCATTGTAGTCGATTAGTTTCAGTTTGGATCGCTTAGTAGATTATATGTTCGCTATGAATTGTATCAATCAGAATAATTATGGAACGCCCACGATTCTCTGTTTATATCCTTCAATTAGTAATAAAATTTGTTGCAATGAACAATTGTCGAAGACAAAATGTGGTTGTAGTTTTAAGATAATGTGGCTGTAGTTTAGTGGTAAGAATTTCACGTTGTGGCCGTGAAGACCTGGGCTCAAATCCCAGCAGCCACAAATAATTTACTTTTAAACACATGGTGTATGAAAAAGAAAATTCTCTCTCTACCTTTTTTTCAAAATCACGCTCCCCCTTCTCTCATAGTCGCTTTCGCACTCCTTTTCCCAGGGGTGGCCGCCGGCGCCTTCTGGTGACCGGCGATAACCCATTCTTTTCCTTCTCTCTTTAATCGCCCATCTTGCTTTTGGTTTGGAAAGTCTTCTTCGACTTTTTCCTGGATTGTTCTCTCCTTTCCAGCCGTTATGGCCTTTCAATTTCATTTCAAGTTGAGCTTGTCTCTTCATTTCAAAGTCTAGGATTCATATTTTGGGCTTGCTCAATGAGGGATCCGGAGTATGCAGCTTGGGAATTTCATTCTGGTAGGTAGAATGGCCGATTCCCAAGTTTGGTGGGTTCATCATCGGTGAAGCCATTCTTTGCTTTCCCCTTCCGGCATCCCTTGGCAGTTGTCTGTTGCTTTGGTGCTCGTTGGATTGTGGAGGGTATCGTCTTCTCCGGCGGGTGGCAGCCAGGGATGGCAATTTTGACATGACCCGTTTTACCCGACCTGTTTGACCTGTTTTGGGGCGGGTCCGACCCACTCCGTAGGCGGGGCGGGCATGGGTACTCTCATCGACCCGACCTGCTCTGACCCCCCCCCCTTCTCGACCCGTTCTTGCCTAAATTACATGTAATTTTAGTTAAATTATTTTGAATTTTTCATTTATTACATGATAATTTAGATATAATAAAGTTGTAAATTAGTGAAAATCTCAATTTTTCTAATAATTTAACTACATTTATCATAATATTGTTTGTTTTCTTGGTCTTATAATAAAAATAACGAATATTTCTAATGTTTTTCATATAAATTGCATACTCATTGGGTCGACCTGCCCCGACCTGCGACCCGTGGCAAATTACCCGACCTGCCACGGGACGGGTCTGGGTACCAAGAAACCCGCCCCGGACCTGCCCCATTGTCAATTTGTCATTCCTAGTTGCAGCTGCCTGCTGTCTCTTTGGAGTTTGGTGGCTCGATCAGATTCTTCCACTCTCTTGGATCCATGCTTGCTGCCTCGGCTCCCTCTGCCTTTTCAACTCGGAGCAATCTTTTCACTTCCTTCTCAACCGCCATGTTGTCTCGTTCTGAGATTCACTGTGATGGATGTCTTCGAGCAGTCCCCAGGAGGCGGCATATGTCATTGCTTTGTTCAAGCCATGAATTTCGTTGTGATTGGACGAGTTATTTCTGATCTTGGTGGTACTATGTTTTGGTTGGATGCGAGAAGTTTTCTGGATCTACTGTTTTTGGATCTTGCATTCTGATCTTTTGGGTGGTTGTTTGTACTCTTTGCTTTGCTCTTCTTTGTTGTATCTCTCAAGCACGGTCTGTGTTCAACCGTTTGGTCGAGATCTCATTACGCTAATTTGATTGCAGTTTTATCCATTCCTCTTTGTAACCGATCTAGTGCAATACAAGATTTACCTTTGTAAAAAAGAAAAAGACAAATTCTTTTCCATTTAAAGACAAAAGCCAGGTTTAGTTTCCTTCCATGCTACTTTTCCTGTTACAACTGGAGCAGAGTTCCATGAATGGAACTATTGGGAAGTATCTTACATCAAAAGAGGCTACATTACATATATAATGTTACTACTAATTCAACTCCAGATTCAGATTTCTCCATCCCAAAGCTCCTCAATAGTCTTGAAAGGGCCTTGGTCTGAGATGTAATCCTGTCCCTGGCATCCTCTGCTTTGGGGGATCTCACTCAGCTTCTTGTTCTCTTCTTCACTAAACGCCCAACTGAAGATGTCGAGATTCTCCTTCATCCTCTCCTGGTTGAAGCTCTTCACCACAACGCAAACCTCCTGCTCGTATGCCCATCTCAAGCAAACCTGTGGAATAGAAAAAAATGGTTGAATACTTTTGTAACCTGAACTTTGACCATATCGAAGATGGATCAGACAGAAGAAAAAGGGCACGAACCTGAGCAACAGTTTTCCCTTTGGCACGGGCAATTTCTCCTAGGACTTCATTTTCGAGGACCCTGTTGCTCCCCCAAACGGTTCCTTTGGCTCCCAATGGAGCATACGCGCTCAGGATGATCCCATTCGACTTGCAGAAATCCCTCAGCTTCTTCTGTTGCCATAGTGGGTTTATCTCTACCTTTCAACCAAATTCCCCCCACCACAAAAGAAAAAGCACCACCATTAACTCAAAAAAAAGAAAAAAAAACAGAGCTTTTTCCTCTGTAAGAAAACTTGATTAACAGAGTGTAACTTACTTGATTCACAGCGGGTGGAATCTTGGCAAGGGCGAGCAGATCCGTGAGCTTTTTACAGGTGAAATTGCTGACTCCAATGTTCTTGGTCAGACCCATCTTTTGACACTCCTCCATCGCACCCCACACACCCGCGTAATCCATCGCCATGAAATCTTCCTTCATGATTGGGAACTCGTACGTTCCCTGGCGCGAGCTCACCGGCCAGTGAATCAGATACAGATCCAGATACTCCAGTTGAAGATGGCTGTCACAAAATTCCACATAAACACGCGTATCAATTAACCCCACAAATGGAGAAGAAACGAGGTATACCAAAAAAAAAAAACAGGGGAGCTGGGAAATGGAATTGTGGGGGTTGTTAATTAATATAACTGGAGGCTTTTTTGGAGGGCGGGGAGAACGAGATCGGGATGGGCGTCGCTGCACCAAAGCTTGGATGTAACGAAGAGCTCGTCGCGGGATTCGATTAACCCACGAGACAGAGCTTCGGCGATGGCTTCCCCGAGAGATTCCTCAGTTTGGTACAGAGTAGCTGTGTCGAAGTGGCGGTAACCCAACTCGATGGCTTGGACGACGGCGGACTTGGTGGCGCCGGATCCGACCAGAGGAGAAGTCGCCGTACCCATTCCGAGCAACGGCATCCTCCGGCCGCTGGAGCTCAGTATCACCTCCGGTACGCTGGTTGCCGGATTCGGATCCATCTTCTAATTTGTGGCAAAAAGGAATTTGGCAAATTCCCCTTTTAAGAACTGAACATCGTCGTCAAGAAAACTAACCCAAAACCTAGAAATGTGTCAACGACATCAAATTTTTTTTTTTTTTTATCAGGATGTCAATGGAACGATCGGCTCTGTGCTTTCCGAACAGAGACAAACCAAATTGCCCAAATGGGGGAAAAGGGTTCAGTAACTTTAACTGCAGGGGAATTGGTCAAAGCTTTTATCTTTTGATTTGTAGTGAGAGCATGTGGCTGATAAAAGAGCAGGAAGAGATAATAATGGTGTGTGGAAACTGGAAAGTCACCCACCCACCACATCCGCCATTTTTGAAGCCTTTTCTTCAGCTTCCTATCTTTGCAGGCGAGACGACAATTGTTGGCCCTTCCCTCAATTGTCACTATTTGCGCCAAATCGAAATTTTTACTATTCCTGTAAGAGCTAAATTATATTGAAACCACCATACCATATCACAAAAAGAAAGCACTGAAATTCCATTTCAAGAATGAATGAGACTGAGAAACCCATGTGATGAACAACAACAAAAAAGATAGCTCCTAGTTACAAAGCAGTACCAAAATGCAATCAACAAATGTAAAGAATTTTCTCAGGCACGCACATACAGAGAGTGAAGAAAATTAAGGAGAAGCTTTCTTGGTGGTCTTTTGGTACTTGACCTTGATCCACAGCATCCCAATAGAGGCGCCCGCTTTCACTTTCTTCATCCCGGCTGTGGCGACCTCTTTCGTTTTGTTAAGCCCGCCCTTCATTTTCTTCGAGTACTTTCCTTTCCCGCCGGCGCCGTCTCCGTTGCCGCTGAAACCACCGACGGCACCCCCGTGATTCTCCTGATTCCTGTCCCATTGATCAGCCCACGCATTCTCGAACGAACCCTTTGAACCCATTTGATAACTAACTAACTTGACTTAATTTCCTGCTGTATATCAGAATGAACGCTGAATTGAACCTATATGCACATTCACAATGTTGGGTTTCTTTTTTGAGATATAAGCCTACATTCTCTGTGCATGTTAATTGGCGTTATTGATTAAGGTTGGTGGATAGCATCTTGGTTGGACGCGAAATTCCTATACTGGGAGCCGATCAGCCAACCTGCAGGCTGCTAAACCGAGGGGAACCAGTAAACAGCTATATGCCATATTTTCTTGTTACCTACTGAGCCAATGGAAAGACTATGTGAACCAAATGTGGATAACAGAAGATCAAACAACACCGGGCATCAGTTCATTGTGAGAGTGAAATGCACATCCTCAACTTGGATAGTTAATGCCTAATGGTTCTAAATGCACTGTCTTATGCCAAGTATTTGCATAAAAAAGCCTAGCTATGGAAAAGTGCACTTCACTGTTGTATTTCGTCAAACACGTGGTGGGTAGGAAAAAATCCCAGAATACTCAAGTTATTAAAAAAAATTCTTTAAATACAGTACTTATAAAATTAATTCCCAAAGTACGGCAGTTTTAACATCACTGTCTTAGACAAAGACAGTGATACTAATCACCGCTTTTGTTTAAAACAGTGAACCAGCGAGGACACTATCACCGCCTCTGACAAAAGCGGGGAATGTATCACCGCCTCTGGCAAAAGCGGGGAACGTATCACCGCTGCTCTCAAAAACTGTGATTGCCTCACCGCTGTTGTGCAAAACGGTGATATTTACCACGTTTTAGAGCCCTGGTAGGTGGAAAATTAGGTAACAGCTACCTAGCTACCAGCTTTCATTTTTTCCTATAAAATCCGACGCCTACTTCCCTCCTGCTGCCTTACACAAAAATTATTGTTTTTTTAGTCGTTTTCTCAGCTGGTTCCTCCGTAGTTTACTGCTCAAGAAACTCGTCGGGATTCGGTATGTTAGAATTATGTATTGTTTACATTTTGATGTGTAAGTAATTATATGTCTGTATTTAGTGAATTGCGGTTATTGGAAAATATGTTATGATATATTTAGATTAATTATGATATGATAGATGTTAGTTAGTTAGTACTGAATTTAGATTAATTTGTTTAGTTTTCTCATGATAGATCGGGATTGAGTATGTTATAAGTATGTATTTTTTACATGTTGATGTGTTAGTAATTATATGTCTGTATTTAGTGAACTGCGGTTATTGGAAAATATGTTATGATATATTTAGATTAATTATGATATGATAGATGTTAGTTAGTTAGTTATGAATTTAGATGAATTTGTTTAGTTTTCTCATAATAGATCAATTAGTTGCATTTTATTATGGGTTTGGATGATATTGTTTTTGTATCCATAATGTACTAATTATATACTATACTTAATTATTATAAATTGCAGACATGGGTAAATTTAAGAAGTTTCGGCTTATTATTTGGTGGAATGGTCGGGTGACAAACTCGAACATTGGGATCGACTATGAAAATGGCGAATCCAGTATGCTTAAAATTGAGTCGAGATTCTCGTGACAAGAACTCCATGACAGGTGTGCAGAAAGGACTTGTACGGGCGGGCAAAGGAGAGTTCGTCAAATTACTTACCGGTATCCCAACATGAGTGATGACGGAGTCATGTACGAAAAGGTTGACATAAATGATGATGACGACGCGAACATGATGATACAGTTCATATCCGAGAACGGGGTGCGGCTTGCAGAGGTGTATGTCGAGACCGAGCCGGTCGATGAAACTCATTCTCACCAGTATTCTTATGATGATGGTTTTGCAGGAGGGTATGGCTGGGGTGGTAGTTCAAGTAACTACGGAGGAGGTACTTCTGCAGGAGGGTATGGTTGGGGAGGTACTTCTGCAGGAGCCGTCGATATCGTTCAGCCCGACGGTGATCAATGGCCTGCTTGGGGTCCAGAGTGGGCTGACATTGAAAACACCCTTCGATCTGGGCGTACTTCGCATGACCAAGAAGACGATGCTGGTTATGCTGGTAACGATGACCATCCTGAGCCGAGCTATCCATTCGCCTCCAGTGACGATGAAAGTGAGGAAGATTTGAGATCAGTCAATGAGGAGGAAGATACGAACGATATTGACGATATCGATGACAGAGAGGTGGCGTTCCGTCAGGCACCAACGCCTTACTACACAGAGTTTCATGATCAATTTTCATATGGTCAGAATGATGCCCCTGACTTTCGACTCATGCCTGTGTATAATCCGACTGCTAATTTGGAAGTGGGTATGGCGTTCACTTCGAAAGCCGATGTGCAAGATGCTTTTAGCGAAGAAGCCATGCGGCGTAACTTCGAATGGAAGGTAAAATATTCTGACAAGGGACAACTGCATGTCATTTGTAAGAATGCTGAAGAGGGTTGTATGTGGCAACTTCGTGCTGCATATATGAAGAGAAAGGGCGTTTGGGTCATGCGGACAGTAGAGAACAACCACAGATGCTCCTCAACCTTACTTTCACAGGATCACCGGCAACTGAAAGCAAAAAAAGTGGCAAGAACCATTAAGCACCTAATCGAGGCACAACCAGATATTAAGATAAAAACTATCATGGCCGAGGTGAAGGATCGACATTCCTACACCATAAGGTATAAGAAGGCGTGGCATGGGAAGCAGAAGGCCATGGCTGAGGTCTACGGTGATTGGGAAGACTCGTATGCTTTACTCCCTAGACTAATGTCCGCAATGGAGGAGTCCAACCCTGGGACGGTTTTCGTGCCGAGGTACAACAACGTAGAAACTGAAGATCAAGTTCGAGTACAGAACGAGTTGATGTTTCATCGTCTGTTCTGGACATTCAAGCCATGCATTGATGGGTTTCCCTTCTGCATGCCAGTGATTCAGGTATATTACGGACTCAAAATATTGTACTATTTCATTACTTTACTAATTTCAATTTTTACTAACTCATTATTCATTTTAACAGGTTGATGGAACTTTCCTTACTGGGAAGTATAAAGGAACTCTTCTTATTGCCACTGGGGTTGATGGAAATTTAAGTATTTTTCCCTTAGCATTTGCATTAGTTGAAGGGGAGAACAACCTAAGTTGGGCATGGTTCTTTGACCAGCTACACGCCCATGTCACACAAAGAATGGGTATTACAATTATATCAGATCGACATGCCGGGATTAAACACGCCGTCCGTGGTTTCCCCGACGAATGGGAATGGACATGGCGCTGGTGTATTCGTCACTTCCTAGCCAATTTCCAACACAAATTTGGCAAGAAAAAAGACATAAGAGATCAATTGTGGAGTGCAGGTTGTAACACCCTACCCTATACGTTTTGCCTAATCATATTCTTCATACAATTGCAGCGGAATTGATCTTGGGTGTTACATTAATTATCAAAATTTACCCAAATAAAATTTCGACATGAATTACTCGCGTAATGGGCTAACAGTTCTTGCAACTTATCCTACAAAATAATTCATCACAAACATATATACTCACAACCATATGCATTGGCTTTTCATAGCCATAGTCACAGTTTCATGTTACCCAACTGTATACTATACTGATACATGCCATAATCGTCACAACTTACATAATTACACAAATATACACATATCATCAACTTTCCACACCTGTGGATAGCTCACACTACATCAGAAGCTAGTATGCACATGAAAAACGTTCTCAAAACATTTTTACAAAAAGGTGTGGATCACTGGCCAAAATCCCGAGTAGTAGTCCAAGCACAGAATAGTTGAAGACCATACCTCATCTTGCCTTCAACTCTTGCTCAACTCCCACCTATACACCTATCTACTGCTGCTGCTGCTGGTGATGATCTGCTTACACATGGCATAAGCAGAGAAAAAGGATAAAGAGGGTCAGCTCATAGCTGAGTGAGATAATCATAGCATCGTGAGTTCATAACAGAGCATACCCCTACCATACATCTAGCAAACAAGCCAAAGCACTAGGATCAGACCTCAGGCATCCGACATCCCAATAAGCAAAAGACTCAACCACCTTGACTTATGCATATGCATCTTATCATGTTTTACTTATAGGCGCCTGGCTACTCCCATGCTAATTACTCTCCTGGGAATACGGACCAAACATCTCGTGGATGTGGTCATATCGGACCCACTACTGCCGGTGTAGTCATATCGGACCTGACACCACGATGGGTGTGGTCATATCGGACTCAACACCACTCTGGGTGTGGTCATATCTCATGATGAATCAACGGTCAACACCACATCAGGGGTGTGACATAACATATCATAACGGAGTAATAGCATGGGGAGCCCTAATTACTATGTAATTGACCATGAGACCAAATCACTCTTACTTGATGTCCTTATACATGATCCATATCTCATCTTGCTTAATCATAATTCGTTACTTGCACATGTACTTGACCTGGCCACAATTGGCTCAACATAGGTAAATCAGGAGTCGTATAATTGCACTTCCTCGGGATAAACCCTCGTGCAAGTCATCCTCCTTAAACATCATAATATCACCAGGGAATATATATTTTCCCACATGTGCATCCAAATACAAAAATCATGAAAAGTCATACCCAATCACCTTCTCAAACCATCATAAAGCATATTAACAGTCAAGCCCACAATTTGTAACATATACACAATCATCAGCATAATCAAAGTCCAAGTCGACTAGGGCAAGTCAATAATATCATACAACAATTCTTGGTTCATCATATAGCAGAAAAGTCCATACACCCCTAATCATGCCATTCTAGTTCACCTAGGTCAATTCTGAGCATAAGTATAATTATCGTGATACGACAAACCCGGTATGCCGTGCTAATCCCTCACCAGTTCTGGTCGTTCAAACACCGGTTTAACCTTCCCGTACTAAAACGTCAATTTCATGAACGAACCCCGAATTAAAATCCGAGACCGTCCTAATATCCCCTGCAGTATCCCCGTCAAAGTTAGTTCTAGGCTCCGGATCAAATTCTCGATAAAAAC